GTGGGTCGGGGGGGCAGACTCCAGGCAGCGCTTACCTCAATCAGCTCCCAGAAACATCGGCATGTCCCCCCTCCGGCTCCTATGTGGAAGCACGGCCAGGTGGCTCTGTGCACTGTCCTGAGCGCAGGAACCGCCCCTGAAGCTCCCATTGGCTGTGGTTCCTGGCCAATGGGAGCTGCAGCGGCGGCGCTTGAGGTGGGGGCAGCATGCGGAGCCCCCTGGCTCCCGCTACGTGTAGGAGCTGGAGTGGGGACATGCCGCTGCTTCCAGGAGCCATGCGGAGTGGGGCAAGACCCCAACCCTGTTCCCTGGCCAGAGCAGGGCAAGCCCAGACCCCGTTTCCCTTAAGGCTCAAGGGCCGAATTAAAATGTCTGGAGGGCCGGATGTGGCCCGTGGGCCATAGTTTGCCCACCTCGGCTCTAGAACATCTTGCTGCAAAAAAATATAACCTTCAAAACATAAGCCTGTCACTAGGCTTACAAATTTTAAAATTAAATTAAATTAATGGAGATATCCTATCTCCTAGAACTGGAAGGGACCTTGAAAGGTCATCGAGTCCAGCCCTGTGCCTTCACTAGCAGGACCAAGTTCTGATTTTGCCCCAGATCCCTAAGTGGCCCCCTCAAGGATTGAACTCATAACCCTGGGTTTAGCAGGCCAATGCTCAAACCACTGAGCTATCCTGGCATCTGATTTTAGAAGTTAAACAAAAACCAGAAGGAATAATCTAAGAAACATCCAGTCCTTGCCAGCTATTCTTTCTCTACTTTCTGGCAGCCAGAATCTTCACCCTCCCCACTAATGGAGGCAGAGAACACAGGCAAATAAAATTCACTTTCACTCCCACATGCACTCCTCTTGAATATCTGCTTGTGAAATTCAACAGCCCACTTAATAGGCCCCCAGCCAGCCCCTTAGCCACCACTGCTGCTCCCCCCTACAAATGCATACTCCCCTTTCAGGGAGATGAAGTTCCTCAAATGGTGAGTGGGAAGAAGAGCATCTCCTGTCCATGAAGATGTCCATAGTCCCAAAAGAGGCAGCTCCAGAAAGAAATGTTCCCTGTGCTATCTGAATAAGGAAATAAATGTGACTCCTTACTCACCATCCATCCTCCTGACGTGTCAGAAAGACTCCACCATCCAGATACAGCCTAAAAAGTCACTTTTACCCTATTGATTGCTGATGAAAGGAGCTGTTAAACTCATCTCAAGCCTCTAAAGATAGTTTTGCTGATTAAACAAGCTGATATATTAAACATAATTGTTTCAACAGTGTATCTTGAATTTTGCAAATAATTGCTCCAGAGTATTGTGCAATCTTTGCACTAGAGAGAGAAAGAAAAAAAGCATTTTGATTCCTAATGTTCTTTTCTCAGGGGCTATTTTTCTTCTCTTTCCCTTATAACAGAGAAAGATTTGTGAACCTAAAACTTTATAAAGTTAAAAAACACTCAATGCTTTTTACTAAAAAACCTGAAGCCAAAAGACTACTATTGTAATAAATTAATTCTTCTAAATTTGTCACTGTTGCTAAAGAAGCAATGTCTGAATTTGAACAGTCAACAGGACTGTGAAGGGGGGGCAGCGGGGGGAGAGCAGGGACGGGACAAAAGACCAAGGCCCAGAAAAAAATGACTGGAGAATGGAGCCTTATCAACAGCCAGAGGCAAAATCCATATACAAGTGACTGCAGGCTGGGTTTTGGATTTGGTTTTTTTGGTTGTTGTTTTTTTTGGGGGGGGGGGGGTTGTTTCTTTCTCTTTTATGTTAATCAGCAGTGCCACTGGTGTTTTTCTCTTATTTTCCTGTTTATTTTCCAGGAAAATAAGAGAGTATAGTGACTGTCTGGTTTCACCCACATAGTTGGTACTTGGGCATTTAGTGCACAATCACCATCAGAAATCAGATGTCCATGACTGACATTTGCCGACACTTTCAAAGGCAGGACCCCCTAATACAGAAGTTTATCCTAACACCTTCCCAACATATAAACGAGATCCACTAGTACCTGATGTGATTCTTATCAAACTATGATAACTTACATGGCATCTAAAACGTGTCTAGTCCAGGTGTTCTCAAACTTCATTGCACCGCAACTCCCTTCTGACAACACAAATTACTACATGATCCCAGGAGGAGTGTTTGAAGGCTGAGCCCATCCAAGCCCTGCTGCTCTGGGCAAAGGGGCCAAAGCCCGAGCCCCACCACCCTGGGCAGGGGGGCTCAAAGCACTTCATCCCCAGGCAGGGGGCCTGTAACCTGACCCCCACTGCTCAGGGCTGACACCGAAGCCTTGGGCCCCAGATGGTCACGACCCCATTTTAATGGGGTCATCGGGGCTGGCGTTAGACTCACAGTTTAGACCAGCAGTTCTCAGTCTATAGATACAGGCACAAACAGAGTTAAGTTTGATGTTGAATCTTCCAATAGTAAGTGTCCTGCACTTCAAGCAAGTTTTTGTTCTTCTGTTAGAATGTAGTATTGTTAAAACTGTTTTAAAGGGCAACATTCTCTCACATAAGTTTTGTTCATTTCCCCCTCAGTTAAAGTGGAAAAGAGTTTTTCATGGTCACAATCCAAGTGGCCGAATGAGTTTTGCTTGTAACTTTAGTGACACCTGTGTTTCACCAGTGATGCTCAAGAGTTTAGGCATGCATGAAGTATGTTGGTGAAGCTTTTATAAGCTTGAATTCAGGATAAGTAGGACCTCGTTGAGGCCAGTACCACCATGTCACGCAAAGGACACTTGACAAAATTACCATACCTAGTGATTGACATTGGGGGGGGGGGGGGTTATGTCATTCAGTCATTCAATTTTTTGAAAAATTACCACAGACTTCAAAATTTTTACCATGGACACTTGTGTCCGTGTACGGACATGCTGCTGACCCTTGGGGTACGTCTACACTGGAAACTTCAAAGCGCTGCTGCAGGAATGAGTGCAGTCACCAGCGCTCCCGGTAATCCACCTCCACAAGGGGATTAGCTCCCAGCACTTGGAGCCTGTCTACACTAACGCTTTAACATGCTCAAACTTGCTGCGCTCAGGGGGGTGATTTTTCATCCCCTGAACCAGCAAGTTAGAGTGCTATAAAATTTAAGTGTAGACAAGCCCTTGGTTGAGGTCTCTGGAATTATCACTTGATCTATAGAATTTAAGGAGTTTGCAAACGATAAGCCCCACATTTCAGGGCTCTTTAGAATTAAGCTCCATCTGCATACTCCTTGGGGATAAACTGCTTTTACAAATTCAGCTAATATGAAGCTCAGGAGCTATAATGGCAGCATTTGGGGACTCAGGATGTGGGCTCCGCTCCCCAGAGAACCACTTTTTGACTCTGTACATTGACATATCCAGAATAACCAAAGCAATGTTAGTGGGAAAGGAAGCTGGACACATTTTGAAGTCTTTGAGGGCACATTCCTTAAAAGGGCTGATTTTTTAAGCAAGTCATTTTAGTGTGGTTAGTCCAAACTACATTTTAAAATGTAAATATTGATCATGGTGTACACATACAAATAGATTTTGTATTATTAAGAGTAATGCCTAGAGGCCACAATGTACAGCACTTAGTACAAAGAAATACAGGATGTGCCAGAGAATTCACAATCTGCACAAGAGCCAAGTCCAGAAATCATGTTAGTTAGTGGGCTGAGGCTATGGCTTATTTTGAATATCTTGCACATTTTATTGTTATTCCCTTCCCTATTTGTGTGTTTTTACACACTTGTGTCATTTTCAATAACCAGGACTATGTTCTTTGGAGCAGGATCTCGCTTTTTACTTCATGCCCACACAGACACAGCTGAATGGGGCCCAAGCTGATGCCCTAGGAACTACTGTACTACAAAGATCATCATCCCCCAAAGGAAGTTGGAGCCCAACTGTGTTCCAAAAGTGCCCCAATGTTACTTTCTCCCCTAATTATATGGACGCTAGTGGATTAACTTCTTGTATAACTAGTAATGAAGAACATTTTCATGGGCTATCATTATTTTGTTTCTCCATGATCCTTTATTGCCTTTTTTTTCTCCTTACCCAGTAAGTTCAAAGTATTATTTTTTGCCCTTGTTTGGGGGGGGACGACGACACATTTGAAGAGTCTGTTCTCACTTGCCTCCCCACCTTCAAGTGCTGTGAAGATTCCACCACTAAAGCAACTTTTGTGCTCAAGAGACCCTTGTTAACACAAAGATGGAACAAGATGTCTTGGACCTTGTGGCGTTGAAACACTGGAGAGCTACTTTCACACAAGTCCTCTTCAAACAGTGTGGAGATAGTATCTGTCCCTTCTCAACAACCAGAAATGATGACAGGACACAGACACTACATCTCTCCAAGCAAGAATAATCAGAAGAGAGTGGCTCACACGGACACCAGGAATATGAGTTTGAAGTAAGAGCTTAGGCAGAGAGCAATTACTGACATCACTGAGGGCTTACCTTAAGAATGCAGTAGTGCTTACAGTTACTAAACTGCTTTCCTTTAGGAAAAGGCCATTGACATACACCTATTCAACAGTTTGTTTTGAAGGGCTACAAACTTTTTTTTTAAATTAATGTTTGCGTTACAAGGAAAAGGGCCTGTAACATTCACCAGGAAGATAAGGAAAGAAAGAGTCATCCACAGATAACCAAAAACTTCTGTTCGCCAATCTGTAACACTGCTAACCTGACATTAACACATCCCTGTCAAGTCACGAGCAGACGAAAAATCATTAAGGTTTTTTTAAATGGGGGCGGGTGGGTCAGAGGTGGTTTCAGAGTCTCCAAGGCAGCAGTCTGAAGTGCTCTCCCCAAGCTCACAAGCCAGCTTTATCTGTTCTAGCTGAGCCCATGGGGATCTCAACTCCATCCTGTGACCTAGCCACCTCCCCAACCCCACTGCCCAGCAGCTATACTGGGACAGGTCCCCCGGACTGGGCCGGGCCGCCCACCACCACGGAGAGCGCCTCCCGCGCAGTGACCCCCCTCCCCCGCCGGGCGGCGGCGCTCACCCGCGGCGAAGTGCAGGGGGGTGGATTTCCTTCCCGCCATGTCCTTGGCGTTTACGTTGCCCGTGTCCACAAGGCGCTTGACCCGGGTCACGTCTCCATTGCGACAGGCTTCGAGCAGCTCCCGGAAGGCGCCGCTCCCCGCGCCCGGCCCAGGCGACTCCGGGCTCTCGGCCGCCGGGCTGGAGGCCGCCGAGGACGACGATGAAGCGCTGCCGCTGCTGGTGGCCACGCTGCTGCTACTGGAGCCGGAGGCCGGCGGGGGGGCGGCCCCGGCCGCGCTCTCCGGCTGCTCCGGCGACAGAGCGCGCTCCGCGTCGCGACCGCCGCCCGAAGGGGGGGCCTCGCCCTCTGGCCCGGCCAGGCTGTGCCGCTGCGGAGAGGGCGCGGCGCCCGCAGGGGAGAGGCCTGGGCTGCGCGGCGGAGAGGCCGGCGCGGGGGGCGGCGGGTGATGGTGGTGATGGTGCTGGGACCGACGCGGCGCCGCCATCTTCCACTCCAGCCCTGTCACTGCGGCAACGGAGCGGCGCCCGCCCTCGCTTCCGGCCGGCGCAGCCAATCGCAGCTCAGGGCGCCCGGACGTGACGTATGTTGTTGTGGTGGGGAACGGGGAAAAGGGGGGGGGCAGAGAAGAACAACGCGGGGCGGGGTTTGACTACAGCTTTTCGAGCCCGACGGCGGCCTGGCCCCGCCCCCTCAGGCCGCCTACAGCGATGAGAGGAGAGCGTGTGAAGAGAGCAGGGACCAGTACGCCACGCCCTGCCTCCCCCTTGCACACTCGCCCCTGCTGCCGCTGCCAGTCTCCCCTGCCACCCGTTTGCACACACACGTCGTTGCACGCTCACAGCCCCATGTATTTGCTACAAATACATTAGAAGCAAGTGGCAGACCAAGCACAGGGTAGGCCTGTGACTCAATGGGGGGGCCAGAAATAATAACGGGAAATGTGGAAATGGCAGAAGTGCTTAGTGACTTCTTTGTTTCGGTTTTCACCAAGAAGGTTGGTGGCGATTGGACATCCAACGTAGTGAATGCCAGTGAAAATGAGGTAGGCTCAGAAGAGGCTATAATAGGGAAAGAACAAGTTAAAAATTACTTGGACAAATTAGCAACAGAGGGTCCTGTGACACCTTTGAGACTAACAGAAGTATTGGGAGCATAAGCTTTCGTGGGTAAGAATCTCACTTCTTC